TATATATATATATATATATACATTATAATGCCTAGTCGATGTTGCGTACCTGGATGCAATAGTAATTATGATTCCACTTTAAAAGCAAAACAAAACAACCGCAGCATCAGCGTTTTTAAATTTCCGAAAAATGAGCAACGAAAACAAGCGTGGATAAAAGCAATCCCACGATGTAAAGGGATGGAGGAGTACCAATCAATCGGCGGTTCGATCAATACTGAATTTATTATAAAAATATTAATTCTACAATTCTTAACCTAATGTGATTCTCAAAMAGTTTGCTTATTACTACTTTTAATTACACTCTAATCTACATTGCACAATTCCACCGTTTGTGTGGCGCTGGTACAATTGGTTTGTCGCTGAGCAGCAACAATTAGTGCTGATGAACTATAAGCTATTTTCTGGCTTTCCTCACTTCCTTTCGGTAACATTTATTGCACAATTTGACAGAATCGTCACTAGACAGGGAAGTGAGGTGACTGACTTGGATTCAATGAACTCCATAAGAAATTAGCCCATAGTTCTGTTTAATGAAGATTAAACACACGAGAAGATTTTGAACCTTCATCCTCAAGTGTAGTTTGTCAATTACACTTTAATTTTAATGATGTGATTATGTATGATAAACATTTACAACCTGATGGAAGTACCAAAGAACTTCTTTTAGCTAGACCTCGTTTGAAAGAGGATGCTGTCTCTAGTATATTTCCTAATTTGCCTTCATATTTATCAAAACCCGTAGTCAAAGAACGGACGGATCCCCAATCCAGGAGAGAAGCTGTTTTTAAAAGACAGGATGAAGCTGTTGCAAGTTTTCTTAAAACAGATGTTGTAAACAGTTTTAATGATTTAGCCAAAGATTTTATGGATAAACTTGATTTGTCTGGATGGGAATTTAAAATTACTGATAATAGTATTTATTTTTTTACATTAAATTTTAATGATGCTTTGTCAATAGCAACATCATTTCGTATTGATGAAAATCTCCAGATACAAATTCACGTACAAAAGGAGGAATTAACTCCAAATGATTTGAAATGGATTTTTCTTTATGACCTTAAAATATCAAAGTGGTCCCAACTGATAAATTTATTATCACGATATAAGAATTCTGGTCAGCGGTATTCAGAATCTATTTCAAACCTTTTGAAAAAGAGTTTAGATTTGTTAGTAATAGCTCAAAAAAGAACAACAGAATACGAATTTGACAAAACCAAACAGTTAGACATTATTGTTGACCAATTACGACAAATTCTAAATCAAAAACCTACATATTCTTCTTGCACTGTTATAATGGCTTTTATTGTATATTCCCAGTCGCCCTCATGTTACGAATTAATTCGGAGTTTTTTGACCTTACCCCATAAAAGATATTTACAATCAGCTGATTCCGTATTGAGTAATAAGAACTATCTCTTGAAGGTTGCCAAACCTTTGACTTCATTACAACGAATTGTAGTACTATTAATAGACGAAATTTATATCACAGCTCGGTTAGATTATAGATCAAAAAAAATAATAGGTTCTGCTAGTAATTCTTCATCTAATGAAATGGCGAAAACTGTTTTAACGTTTATGATTAGTTCTGCATTTGGCAATTTAAAGGAAGTTGTTAAATTATTACCGGTACAAAATATTAAAGGAACAGAGGTAGCTGAAATAACAAGACAAATAATTAATTTTGTCCAAGACTGTGGATTTAAGTTCTTTGTATTATTACCGATAATCATTTCATTAACAGTCATGTTTAAAACCTTTTCATCATTTTTCGAAATTCCAAATCCCAAAGATTTGAAAAAGAAAATAAGAAAATATTTCTTAGTTATGACTTTGTTCACATATTTAAAAACATTTGGAAAAATTGGCTCAATTTGAAAAATGTTGATCAAACATTTGTTTATTGTGACTGGAATGATTTAAATACATTACGATTCGCGAAATTTCAGAACATTAGGGAAATTTATTATGCTGAGCAAAATTCTCTTGTTAAACAAGCTTTCAAACTTTGCTATAAATCAGTTTATCCATCGGTTTTGGAAAAACAGAAAGTTATTTTGGCTGACAATATATTTCACCAATCCACAATTTCGTGCTTAAAATCAAAAGGTATGCATGATACAGCACAATTTACTGAAATTATTAGAAAGTGGTGGGATATTGTTAACAACACTTCGACTATTAAAGGAAAAATGAAATGTAATGAATGGTGCACACCTTTTCAAAAATCCAGTTATGATAACGATGTTAAACTACAATTAAAAAAAAAATTATTACTTGGTTGGATAAATGGCACAGTTTAAAGGATGTTAATGGGAAATTATCTAATGAAACTTTCCACGCATTACGTCAGAGTACTTTGGTACTAATAACTTTGGTTGATTATAGTTTTAAAACATACAAAGATTTGGAGTATGTACTAGCAGGAAAATTCAGTACTGATAATTTGGAAAAACGTTTTGGGTTATATAGCTCTCTCTGGATGTAATTACAATGTTTGATATGATGATATATTGGGGGCAGAAAAGAAAATCAGAGTCAAAAAAATTTTTAAAACCATTGACGGAAATTTTTCACTTGAAAAATTGAAACACGATTTTCACTTAATCGAAGACTTGCATGAAATAAACTACTTTGATCATTTTGAAGATGTTAAAGATTTCATGTTCATATTAGATACCGATTACCTTGAGACTTGCGATATTGATCATTCCGCAAAAATATATGTTTCTGGCTATGCTGCACATTCTATTTCTAAAAAGATAAGATGTTCTGAATGTATGCAAATTATTCGAGCAGAAAAGGGAACATACATTGATGATACATATTTTGATAATTTACAGAGAAACGGTTTGTCAGTTGCCACTGTTGTATTTATTTTTGTGCATATGTGTTCAATTTTGGAATACATTATAAATGATGAATTATATTTGTCAAAGTTTTTACACTCCACTCAACAAAAAAATATTTTATGCAAATTGACAGTGCTCAGCATTGAGTCAGATTATTATTATCAAGATTTTATGGAAATTTGTACCTGTGGTAATAATCATAAAAACCTGCTAAATACTTTATGTTCAATTTTTGCTAACATATGTCTAAATAACTACGTCAAAAATCAAAATCGGTCTCTTGCAAGCGTACGTCAGAAGAAAAAAAATGACGTGAGTGGACTAATTAAAACTTTCAAAACGAGAAAACTCGAGACCTTTAAATGATTTGTTTTCATTTTATTTTGTTATTTAAATATTATTTTTTTTGTTTTAAAAGAATAACATTTCTGTTTTTTTAGAATATATTAGCAAGAACACTTTTT